ACGCCTAGTCCAAGTAGGCCTGACCTGGCCTGGGGCCTGGCAGGGTCTTGGGGGTGGCATCCATGGATTCCCTGGCAGCGCCCCAGAACCGCCTGGTAGAGCAGCTGCTGTCTCCAAGGACCCAGGCCCAGAGGCGGCTCAAGGTGTGTGGAGAGGGGAGTGGAATGTGGGTCAGTGTGTGTGTTCTTGCTGGGACCAGCTTGAGAGCTCCGGGGGTGGAAGGGGTGACAGGGACTGGCAGGGACAGGGTCATTGGGGATGGGTGCAGGGACCCCAGGGTGGGGGAGATTGGTCTCCGCTGTCTATAAATAGTCCCTGCTCTGCTGCTGTAGCCAGCCACCCCCGCTGGGCTGGATCTGGGCCAGATGGGCCCTCCCACCCCCTGGTACTCTCAGGAGGGGTGAGTATTGAGGCCTGGACCTTATGCCTGTGAAAGGCCTTGGGTGTTTCAGAGGAGTGTTGGTCCAGATACCCACAGCCCACGACTCATGGGAGGATAGCGTGTGTGCCTGTGCCTTTGCCTGCTGCAGCCTGTTCTCCCCCCCACCCCACCCACACACACACACAGTCTCCAATCCCTGCAGAATTCCTCACTGAGGTTGGGCCAAGGACCTGCCACCCTCTGACCTGGCTTCCCATATCTGGGCCTTTGCCCACAGGCCTTCATCCTATTTCAGGCATTGAAACACCCCACCCCCTGGAATCTGCCCTCTGCTGCCTCCTTGCCTAAGCCAGGTAGGTGACAGGCATTGGGCCACCCTAGGAATCCCAGTGTGCCCCTGACCTGCCCCACCTCTGCCCCCAGGACATCGACAAGCAATACGTTGGCTTCGCCACACTGCCCAACCAGGTGCATCGAAAATCTGTGAAGAAGGGCTTTGATTTCACACTCATGGTGGCTGGTGAGTGGGCTGGGCTCCCACACAGGGTGGCTGGGGCCACTGGCCCACCACACTGTTGGGGAGGCCTGAGACCTAATCAGACTCCTTCACTGTATCAATGGGCAGGTGAATCAGGCCTCGGAAAGTCCACGCTGGTCCATAGCCTCTTCCTGACTGACTTGTACAAGGATCGGAAGTTGCTCAGTGCCGAGGGTGAGTGGGCCCTGCAATACCCTGGCACCCAGTCACCATCCCCTGTTGTATCATCCCTCAAAGGGCACCCTTCTAGGCCCAGCCCCTCTTCCTTCTTTCTATGACATGGATCTCCTGTTGAGTCCAGGAGGAGTGGCCTACATCACAGTCAGGGTCAAAACACTGGAATGGATGAGAACTAAGGTCCTGGCAGCCTGGGGTAGAGGGTGAGGATCAAAGAGGCCCCTCTAAACAATGCCCTTCTCCCCACCCCTTCACTGTCCCAGAGCGCATCAACCAGACGGTAGAGATCCTGAAACACACGGTGGACATTGAAGAGAAGGGGGTCAAGCTGAAGCTGACCATTGTGGACACGCCAGGTTTTGGGGATGCCGTCAACAATTCTGAGTGGTGAGAAAGGCCTGGCTGGGGATTTGTCTCTTCCCAACTGACCCAGCAACCTGACCTCATGTGTCCTCTGCCCATAGCTGGAAACCCATCACTGACTATGTGGACCAGCAGTTTGAGCAGTATTTCCGTGATGAGAGTGGCCTCAACCGAAAGAATATCCAAGACAACCGTGTACACTGCTGCCTGTACTTCATCTCCCCTTTTGGGCATGGGTGCGTGACTATCCTGGGGCCAGGCTCAGGAGGCCACCCAGCTGAATGTAGCCCCATGACTGTGCCTTCATTGCCCATCTTCCATCACACCCCAGCAACCAGCCCCTCCTGGAGCCTATCCCCACCCTCTCCCTGCATCACTTCCATGCTTACCCCACACACACAGCACCACCCCCGCCACCCTGGCTGTCTTCTGCAGGCTGCGACCGGTGGATGTGGGTTTCATGAAGGCCCTACATGAGAAGGTGAACATTGTTCCCCTCATCGCCAAAGCTGACTGTCTCATTCCTGGTGAGATCCGGAAGTTGAAGGAGCGGGTGAGCCTGCTGCGGCAGAGGGGCCTGGTCTGAAACACTGGGGCTGAGGACACCCAGAGTGCGGTTACCACTGCACCTGGCCCAGGGGACATGACCAGCTCCGAATATGATGGTTCTTGTCTCACTGCAGATCCGGGAGGAGATCGACAAATTTGGGATCCATGTGTACCAGTTTCCCGAGTGTGACTCAGATGAGGACGAGGACTTCAAGCAGCAGGATCGGGAGCTGAAGGTGAGAATGCAGCCAGTGGAGTAGAGGATGTGTAAACTGGAGGCCCATTTACACAAGGCCAACCTAGTAGGGGTAGGGTTCTTTAGTCTGGGTGGTAGAGCTCGTAGTGCTAGAGGTTAGGGGAGCCATTTCCAGCTAGCTTCTCTAGTTGCAACCCTCTGTTGTCAGTGGGTCTTAGGACACCTGCTAGGACCCAAAGGCACAGCTGCTGGCCAGGCCCCCACCCTGACCCTGCTCATCATCCTCCTTCTCATGGGCTACAAGAGAAGGGCCCACCCAATGGCTACTCCCAGAATTCTGAACTTCAGAGGGTGGTGGTGGCAGCTTTGGGTGTCCAGCACCTAGAGTGGGGACAGGTGGCCACCAAGTCAGAAACAGGGTTAGGTCTTTGGCCCTAGCCAAAGTTAGCAGGAACATCAATAGAGGAGGTATGGTCTCAGATCTAGAGAAGGAAGGGGAAGGTAGCTAGATCGAGTGGCTCTTGATGGAACGGGGGTGGGGAAGTGGAGTATACCTGAAGGGAAGGCACTCCTGTTGGACATAACCCATCGAAGGCCCAGTGTGTAAGCTATACCAGCTCTGGCTTCCTCCAGCAGCAGACAGGCCAAAGCGGGGAAGGGGAAGGTCTAATGGTGATATTGGAGGAGCAACCAGGAGCTGAGTTCCCAATCCCCTCTCCACACACTAAACCTGAACTCACACTAACTGGGCATGAGCCCTTGCACCAACCCCTCCCTAGGAGAGCGCACCCTTCGCTGTCATCGGCAGCAACACAGTGGTGGAAGCCAAGGGACAGCGGGTCCGAGGGCGACTGTACCCTTGGGGGATCGTGGAGGGTGAGTTCAGACAGGGGCATCAGTATGGGTTGGGAAGGTTCCCTTGGGCCGGTGACCCACCCAAGCCTGCTCCTGGTCCACAGTGGAGAACCAGGCACACTGTGACTTTGTGAAGCTTCGCAACATGCTGATCCGCACACACATGCATGACCTGAAGGATGTGACGTGTGACGTGCACTATGAGAACTACCGCGCACACTGCATCCAGCAGATGACCAGGTGTGTTGCCCCAGCCCCAGCATGGACTCACATACCTTGCAAGCTTAGCTATAAAAAGGGCTGGTCCTGGTTGCCTACTTAGACCTGAATCTTGCCCCAACCCCCACATTGGCCCCCCAGTGACTTATGTCCCCACAACCAGCCCAGAGGTGTGGGAGTTCAGGAGGGCAGGGCCTTGGTAGCTGTGGGGACTCCCAGCAGCAGCTCTGTTCCTCTCGTCCACCCCGCAGCAAACTGACCCAGGATAGCCGCATGGAGAGCCCCATTCCCATCCTGCCACTACCCACTCCTGACACTGAGACGGAGAAGCTTATCAGGATGAAGGATGAGGAGGTTGGTGAGACGACAAGAGGAGCAGGGGGTAGGGTTCTTCCCATCAGGGTTCTCACTCTGCCCACTCTCTGTTGTTCCCGCCCCATCCCCCAGCTAAGGCGCATGCAGGAGATGCTGCAGAAGATGAAGCAGCAAATGCAGGACCAGTGACATTCCCGCCCAACCCCATGTGGCCACAGATCTGCTGCCAGTCTCTACTGGTCCTTCCCATCCCTGAACCCCTACTGGTCTGGTCTTCACCCTGGATTTATCTGGATCTCCAACTGGCCTGGACGTGACCCCAATCCAAGAGTAGCCCAGACCTGGACTGTTCCTGACCTGACCCAGAGTGGCAGTGTCGTAAGCCCCCAGCCAACCCTAATTTATTCTCAACATCAGACCCCTCCTCTCATTTGTAAATGCTTCAAGGGGCCTGGACAACAGGCCCCCACAACCAGCCCCCTCTGACCTTGGGGATGCAGGAGCTAGATTGGGCTCATATTCTGAGATCTCCCTCTAACCCAGAAGGCCATAGGACTGAGATTCCAGACCCTACTCAGGCAGGTGGTAAGCCAAGGCAGAATATGGAAGCAGATCCCAAGGTCCTAGGCCTATTCCCCTACCCAGCACCACAGAGTGGACTTGGGAACAATTTTGTGCCTGCCTCGGTGGGCCACCCCAACATATGCCCAACTTTGTGTTGAGGTGGGCTGGGTCTTCCTCTTACCCCTACCTCCTCACCCTGCTCACTGGGAAGCCCGCTAGGCAGACTGGGCAGCCACGCAATTAGAATCCCTCCAGACCAAAGGAAGCCCGGAGAGCTACAGGCAGATTTCCAGGGGTTGAGTCACCTGTGATCATCTACATGGTCCCTCATGGCTAGACCAAAAGGGTTGCTGGAGCAGTGAGTGGTGGGCGATCCCTTGCCAACCCTAAGCCTACACAGCAGTTCTCTGCCTATCACTGGAGGTCCCTCCTCTTCAGCAGCACTGTTGCAGGGGTTCCCAGGTTCCAGGCTCCTGTCTCCCCATCCCTCCACCCGCATGATCCCCTCCCCTAAACTGCTTTCTCCAGTTTTGTTCAGTTGTGAATGCCACTTCCTGTCCTGGTGACAGGAGAACAATGTTGGTGAACATGGCCAGGGTGTCCAAGTGCTCCATGCGCCCCTAGGAGAATGTGGAGGCGGAAGTCCAGGAGGCCTGCGGGCAGGAGGATACTGCCCTATCTGGGACTGCAGAGCCTGTCGGAGGGGCCCTCGGGATTATTTCTAGACGTGAGGCTGCACTGTGGTCTGTGTGGCAAGCGTGGAGATCTAGCACGGCCTTATACCCTGTTATTCCGGCCTGCATCTCCCACTCCAGAGCAAGCCAGGCTACCAACCTCTCGCCATGGGCTCTGGTGAGTCCAGGGTCTAGCTGGGGGGGGGGGGGTCTGCTCCCGTAGAAGAGCCGGGTTGGGAGCTTCTCCTGTTGTTTGCGCTAGGAAGAGGCCCCGTCAAACTTAGAAAGAAGGGACTTAAAGCTCTTGGGCGGAGAGGTCTGCTGGAGTGGCTTTCGGGCCCTGGGGGGCGCGGGTTCCAGAAGCCAGTCCCTCCAGGGGACTGCAAACTGCCCCACTTACTGCGGCGCTTCCCTTCCAGGGCCGCCCGGGGCGCTGAGCCTGCTGCTCCTGCTGCTAGCGCCGCCGAGCCGCCCGGCCGCGGGCTGCCCCTCGCCGTGTCTGTGCGCGGGGACGCGCGTGGACTGCGGGCGCCGCGGGCTGACGTGGGCCTCGCTGCCGGCGGTCTTCCCACCCGACACCACCGAGCTGGTGCTGACGGGCAACAACCTGACAGCGCTGCCCCCCGGGCTGCTGGACGTGCTGCCGGCGCTGCGTGTCGCGCACCTTAGTGCCAACCCCTGGCGCTGCGACTGCCGCCTCTTGCCGCTGCGCGCCTGGCTGGCCGGCCGACCGGAGCTCGCGCCCTACCGCGACTTGCGCTGCGCCGCGCCCCCAGCGCTGCGCGGCCGCCTGCTGCCCTACCTGGCCGAGGACGAGCTGCGCGCCGCCTGCGCGCCCGGCGCGCTCTGTTGGGGGTCTCTGGCGGCCCAGCTGGTGCTCTTGGGCCTCGGGCTACTGCATGCGCTGCTGCTGGCGCTGCTGCTGTGCCGCCTGCGGAGACTACGCGCCGGCGCCCGCGCCTCGCGCCGCCTGTCGTTGACTGCCCCATTGGTGGCGGAGCCGGCCGCGCCCGAGACCTGAAGGAGCGGATTGGCGCTGAGCTCCAGGGGCCTGCAAACTCGACTGGAGCCAGCCCGGGGTGCCCTTGACCTAATTTGGATCCACCCAGGCACAATCTTCCAAACCAAGCCACCCCCAGCAGTCCCTGGTGTACTTGGGCTCGCCAGCTGCACACTCGCCATTAGTGAGGGGAGCCCACACCCTTACATTTATGCAGATCCAAGGGCTAAGGGGCAAACTCCAGCTCAGACCCTGTGAAATCCCCAACCCCACTCTCTCACTACCCTCCCCTCCCCCATACACACACTTCCTTTGCCAAAATTCAGTACTGAATAAACCCTTCTCCTCTGACCCCCCTCAGCACCAAGGACTTGAAAATCTTCCCCAAACTGCAAGAAAAGCCTTGGAAGACTGGTCAACTGGAAAGGTCACATATTCATTCAACAAAAATAGCTTCGTTCAAACCTGAGGTCAGAGAGTAACCACCCTGCCACTGACTCTCAGAAGACCTGGGGAAACTAGGAGAACTTGGGAGGCAGTGACCACACACTGTAGGGTTGTGAGGACAATCTGAACAGTAATGACACTGGACTTGGAGAACACTGGGAACTGAAGACAGTGAAACACCCTTGGGGAGTGAGGACGTAGGGAGGACAGAAGACACTGTGGGACAATGAGGACACCAAGGAAATAGGACATTAGGGACCATGAGGACACATTGAGCACAGTGATGACACTGAGGAATTAAACATGGGGCAGTGAGGACAGTGGAAGCAGTGATGACATAGTGGGGACAGTGAACACAGTGGGGACATTTATAAGGTCACTGGTAACAGTGAGGACACTGAGGAATTAGCATTTGGGACATTGAGGGCAGAGTAAGGATACAGTGGGGGAAGCGGAGGAGAACACTAAGAATTAAGACATGGACAATGAAGAAACAGGACACTGGGGGACAGTAAGGACACATTGGGAATGCTGTTGGGATAGCATAGTTGTGGGAGTCAGTGTGCTCAGTGTGGTAGTTTCTGGAGATCAGTGAGAAGGTTCTGAGGATATTTAGGGTGTGAGGTTTCCCCAGTGGCATTGCAATACCACATGGGCAGCTTCAGGGTAATAAGGGGTGGATTTGGGAAGATGAGGATAGCCCAGTGGTTCCCCTGGAACTCCCTGGGTCATCTGAGCAAGAAGCTCAGTCGCCAGAGAGTAGGTGCCTACAACCCAGGCCAGAGACAGCAGAAGGTCCCTGCAGGGCCTTGCAGGGTCTGCAAGAAGGCACCTCTGACACATCAGACTAGCCTGGTCCCTCCCACCCAGCCCAGCAGCCAGGGCCCGGGAATCTTCATTGGAGAGACAGGCTGCTAACAGGGCCTAAATGCCCAAACACGAGACTAACTCTTCACTTCTGGGGTCCAGCTCTGGCACTAGGTGTGACCCCCCTCCTGGCTGGTCCTGCAAACAATGAAAGTTGCTGTCTGCGCATTCCAAACAGGATCTCTGTGAGGAGCCTCAGGCCTGGGTCCTGGCTGCCTGGCACAGGAAGGTCCCAGCCCCCTATTGATGGGGTGGGGGAGTCTGCCTCTGACACAGCCTTTGTCCTGGCCTTTGTGGGACAAGATGGATGGCCCTCCAATGGAACTGATGCTATCTCAGGGTTACCGGTCAGGCATCAGGCCAGAGCCACCCCCTCCTTTGTGGGCAGGTGCAGGGCATCCGGCTCATTGTGGGCTTTGGCTGGCTGTCCGACTGTCCATCTGGCCTTGTCACCACATCTGGAATGTTAGCCTCCTTTGTACAAATCAACTGTTCTCTGGCCCCCCAGGGGACAGCCTAGCAGCCCCAAAGCCCTTGGTGGGGTCAGTGGTAATAGTCATCATTGCAGCAAGGTACACAGGCTAACGCTATAAACTCAGTCCCCGGGGAAGGGGGAGGTCCCCCTACTTTCCAGAGGATGAAACCTAAGCCCATAGAGAAGTCTCCCTGCTGGACCCCAAAGATTTCTCTTTGGCTGGACTGGAGCAGAGTAGAGACCAGGCCTCCGGGACCCCCTGTCTCCTCACTGAGGCCTTCGGGGGACAAATGCAGGGTCCAAGAAAACGTGACATGGAGTTCCTATGCTCTTGATCCTGACCCCAAACTAAAAGAAGGAGGCCCCCTGAGCTGTGGGATGAAGCAATAGCAGAGCTGTGAGAGACAGTATGGTCCACTCCTCATTGACCACAGGGCTCAGGCCAGTGTTCTGACAGAGAGTGGACACAGAAGCCCAAGGGGCAGAAGCCACAGACAGAGCTGTGAAGGAAAGAGGCTGGCATAACAGTGTGGTCAGACCTAAAGAAGGACTTCCTGCCCCTGATAGATGGAGTAACTGAACCCATGGTTCCTCAGGACCCCCTTCCTCTTGCCAGTTCATACTGATTTAGACCAGCTCCTGACAAGTTACTAACCACAGGGGAGTACTGGTCTGGCCTTGCCCCTCTACCATCTCTGGGTTGCCTGAGAACCTTCAGTCCCAACTCCTGACCCTGAGCTGACCCTCAATCCACTGACCCTGGGGCATCAGCCTCCAAAGAGTGTGGGGAAGTGGACAGTCCCAGCTCAGTGCTCCTGAATGGCCCTGTGGGGGAGGTAGGATGTAACACCCCTCCACCCAGCTCAGGGGCCTACTGTCCCCCTCCCCCAGCATTGCCCTCAATTTCATGGATAGCCACACCTGTCTCAGGGCCCCTTTCCCACTGACATGATGGTCCCAACATGACCTCAGATTCCTTCCACATGGAAACTTCTCAGGGCCCACTAAAGGTCCCTCACACTCAGGCTGACTGGTTAAGGTTCTTTGCCCTGCAGCCCAAAGGTATCTGTCCACCTCTGCTCCCAGGACCCTCAGTCTAAGTTAGGTCAAAGCCCAGTTCTTGGCGCACCCTTCCCTACCAGGTCAGGATCCCCCTGGGGCATGCGCTCCTGTGGCAACTACGCCCTCACCACTCAAGTGTGTCGTCAGCAGGGATCTTTCAGGCGCTGTCCTGTCCTGCCCAAACACATAGTGCAAGATAGTGTCCAGATCCGTGCCCCTGATAGCCACAGGGGTACAAACCATATACGGGGGCTCATGCAGTCACCTATCGCAGAGGGTGACCTGCCAAAAGGTTGGATAAAGTGAGATTTAAACAAGGCCAGACGGCAACCCCGGGGAAAGGCACAGCCTTGACCTCCCGCGGGGAGCCTCCGTACCCTCGTGGGTGGAATGGGGTAGGTACTGCGGGTGCGGCCAGCCTCCCCGCTCCGCCCGTTCCAGTGCTCTCCTCGAACGCTGAGCTCCCATGAAGACACCAGGGGGCGCTCGCTGTCTGCGGAAAACGTTTGGGTGGGCGCGGGCCGGCTAAGGCGACGCTGGGGGTGCCGACCACCAGGGTGCTCCGAGAAGCAGAAGCCAGGAGTTGGAGGGACTTGCCCGGGCTGGTGGGGGACGGAGAGCCAAAAAGGACACGCAGGCCGCATCCCCGCCCCCGCCTTGGGGACGAAGCGTGGTGAGGCGGGAGGCCGCAAGCAGACGGAGAGGGTGAGTGTGCCCCTCCCACCGCACCCCCTTCCCGGGCTCGCTGACAGCCCATCAACCGGGAAGATAAGGGGCCGCTTCCGCCAGGGGAAGGGGGCGGTCAACCCAGGTGCGCCCTTCGCCTTCCCGCCGCCCCTTAGCTTCGCGAACACTTATTAAGCCCCTGCTGTGTGCACTGTGAGGAGGGCGGTGCAGGCTGGAGGCCCGCCTGTGCCCTTGACGCGGGGGCGGGGGAAGGCACGGAGGGGACAACCGTGGGGGAGTGGAAAGGAGGTTCCGCCACCTCCCGACTAACTTGGGAACTCGGACTCTGTGTGGGTTCCGTGCCCTCCCAACTCCAGCCTGGGGAGGGGGCGGGGCTCTGAGTTAGGTTGATCCTTCGTGGGAGGAGACTTGAATGCGCCCCAGTAGACCAGGCTCTGGGAAGGCTTAGGGGGCCCGAAGCCCTCCTCACATTGGAGGGGGTGGGCGCACCGCCGCTCAGACAGAGGAACAACATTGGGGTGGGTGGTGCGCCCTGGGGGCCCATAGCTCACTGCACCGTCTGTGCCCACCCCCGGCGTTTCCGATGGAAAACCGGCAGCTAGTGATAAATCACCAGCTCCCACCCCCATCCACCCCGGCGGCAGCGGGGAAGGAGAGCTGCATGGGACAGAGACAGTCTGAGAGACAGGCCTGGAGATGGAGAGACCACAGGGAGAGACAAAGGTGACTATGAAGAGTTGGCTGACACCCGTCGGATTACTTTGCTCAGGGTGTCTGGCCTCCCACCCCCAGTAACCCATCTGGAAACCAGCTGAGAGCCACCCTAGCCTGGCTGACCCCCAACAGGTAGGAGAAGGAGGGAGGGAGCAAGGCCTTAGCAGCCATAACTCCCTACCCCTGGAGGACCATTAATCAACAGGGAGCTCTTGGAAGCACTCCCTTCATTCTCCCCCAGGCAGAGGGGTGTCTTTTGGGTCACTGGTCCTGGTGACTGTGCCTGACCTTAACTGCATCCCTCCTTCCTTCCAGCCCTTGGGAGATCCCCAGCTCCCATCTCCTACTCCCAACCACTGCTCAGTACCCCAGAACTGTGTACACCACTGCTGTCTACACAGGATGTACACTTTTACTGCCCTCATCTCTGTTCTCAGACAGAAGACCCCCTGCACTGACCCCAGGGAACTAGAGGTCAGTGATCCTCCCCAATGAAGCCCTCTTGGGGGATCCACTGTGCCCCAGGGGAAATGCTGTCTGTCCCTCCTCTGTCCTGTCTTCCTGTCACTACTCCCCCCACCCCAGGGTGCTGAGGGTAATTGGACAAAGAGTACAGATTGAAACCTCCCCCTCCACCAGTGTGAACGAGGCTCTGTGAGTGAGGCTTGAGAGAGTCATGGTTGTGCTCCCAGCACCTGTGGGGTATGTTCAGCATCACTACTGACCAGACCCCCCCAGCCCCAGCCTGATGAGCAACCTCTGTCCCAGG